TAACAAGATGTGAGAAAAATGCTACGTATTTGCAAAACTATCTTCTCTGGACTTTATTTATTGGCCATGATCCATGGGTTGCTGCATGCCCTTAATCATGCATAAAATTAGCACTCCTGTCGTTATGCCACCACCACATTAAGTGAATTGATTTCTATTAGCAATGTAGGCTCCATATAAGGCACCCTGTCTGCCTTCACAACCCGTGCCCCATGGCGTCCATTACTGGGTATCATGTTAATTTCCAGCAACCCAAATCCATGTTAGTAAAAGACTGAGCTGTGAATAATTGTTTAAATGTTGTCAAAACATTGATGAAATAGTTGCATTTCAAGCAGGGAGCACAATTTCAAAAGGTTTGGAGGTAGTGAAAAATTATCCAATGTAACTTCAAATATGGATGTCTCTCAGATTAGCACACTTCTTCACAAATTTAGAGATAGGGCTGGAGCCCTGAACTGATTAAAAAGTAGGAACACCCCCAATTTGAAGATATATGTGACTGGTAACTATTCGCAATCAGGACAAGAGAAGAAACAGCATGAAGTGACATTTCATAACAATTATCACCTCCTGTTATTCCCCTTCATGAGAAGTGTCATCAGGCTTCAACATTAACCCCACGGTTCTTTTCAACTGGAAGAAGGCTGGTCGCTTGTGACTGCTTCAGTGAGTCAACAGCATTTTCTTTGTGTTAAAAAGGCGGTTTGGATAACCACAGGTCAATTCATACCTTGATCAGGTCATTCCGTCAACTTACCCTGAACTCTCCATGCCTCTCGTCGCTGAGGACGGGATGCTGAATGGCACCATCTCCAACAAAGTAAGGAAGGTCAAAAATTAAACCCCAGGCAGGTATCCATAACACTACGACCCGAATGCCACTTGCAAAATTGAAGTGCATTGAAAGTCACCGCCCACCTCATTACAGTGGCAACGTGACGGTTCTAGCGTGCCCTTGCGGCCAAAGAAGTTCCCATATCTAGATTTTTCAGCATTTTATACTGTCTATTTCAGGATACTGAGGGCCGGCTGTTAAAAACAGCGAATCGGCCGACCGGCCGGGCCGTGGGAAATACCCCGCTTTGTCGCCGACCTGTCACTGAGCCGGCCGACCGACTAAAAACCGTAGGATATATTGGTCGCCGGGTTTGAATGAGACTTAGAAAAGATACCATGGCGCCGTAGAGTATGGTAAAGAGTCTTTACGGAAACGTTTGCTGGTGTTGTGTGACGAAATGTACTACCATGGAGTCATATTATCTACGTATGAAGACATCGTGTTACGTTTTGCACAGTGTGCTGTATTATTTTGTTTTGGCCGTCACCAAAATTTGCTCTCCAAAAACATTTTCGGCACCAAGCTTCTTGTGAATATAAACATTTTTTTTGTCACCGACCGTTTCCAGCAAGTCGGCAGGCTTTACCACCCTTGGCATAGTTCTTTATTCACCAAGGTCGTGCGGCAGTTTGCCACCCGCTCAGACAGGGGATCGAGCACATCAGCATCGTGTGGACAGTTTGCACCTTCTAGAGATAGGATGTCTACAGCCAGAAACTATACTGGTTAGTGTAACCCGCCCTGGCCCTGACTTCGCTACTGACACTGGCCTTACCGCTGACCTTGGCCCTGTTGCTAACCCTGACCTCGCCGCCGAATCTGACCCCGCCGCTGAAACTGATCCTGTCGCTGGCCCTGACCTTGTCGCTGATCCTGACCCCGCCGATGGCCCTGACCTCGTCGCTGATCCTGACCCCGCCGCTGACCCTGACCTCGTCGATGGCCCTGACCTTGTCGCTGGCCCTGACCTTGTCGCTGACTCTGAGCCCGCCGCTGACCCTGACCTCGTCGCTGGCCCGGACCCTGTCGCTGAATCTGAACCCGCCGATGGCCCTGACCTTGTCGCTGATCCTGACCCCGCCGCTGACCCTGACCTCGTCGCTGGCCCTGACCTTGTCGCTGATCCTGACCCCGCCGCTGACCCTGACCTCGCCGCTGGCCCTGACCCTGTCGCTGACTCGGATGGCGGGCCATGCACTTCTGGAATATCTCTTCAAATGTTCTGCACGGTTTGGTCTGCGGCGCTCAAAATTTAACTTGTTTCAGAATGTCGTTGCCATGTTTGTATCGGTCTGAAGCTTGGCGAATTGTTTCATGCCTTCAAGGCACTGATATGCCATATGGGTACTGGGGCTTTGCAATGAACTTGATTTAAATAGACCGAGTTTCCGGCTAAAGCTGGTTCCTGGTAAAGATACGCAGCTACTTCAGTCTCAGAACTGCTTTATTTGCAAACTGGGGCTTCATCCGGCCTGAAAATATCCAGCTCACGTCTGCGACCTTTCGCGAGCTATTTCTCGGCTTCCTATGCAAGTGTTGCAGCAATCTGCAAAGGTCAACTGCGGGAGATAAGCTTGAAGGTTATATCTGAAGTGGATTATGTAGCCGACCGGCCGTCAAGCACTGAATTTGCCTGTCTGATTGGTCTGAGGATCAGGTCTGAGCATCAGCCTGTCTGATTGGTCTGGGGATCAGGTCTAAGCATCAGCCTGTCTGATTAGTCTGAGGATCAGGTTTGAGCATCAGCCTGTCTGATTGGTCTGAGGATCAAGTCTAAGCATGAGCCCATCTGATTGGTCTGAGGGCCAGGTCCAGGGCCGCATTTACGAAGTCTGTAGACCCCGGCCGTAGACTCTTTCCGTCTCCTCAGTACCACGGCTGGCTTATCAGGCGCACTGTTCGTGCTGCGAGCCACTTGGCACTACACAGTGTCAGTTGCCTGCTAGCCCTAATTGACAGAAACACCGGCAAAGCGAGAGCCACATTATGTTTTCATAGAGTGGATAGCAAAACTGACATTGCTCAGGACACCCCCAATACCAATGGCCCCATGAGCACAGCAAATTGACTAAAACCCGTGCGATGACAGCGGACTCGAGTTATAGCATGATACGCATATTTCATTTCACAAAAGACAGCCATGAATTACGCAAACATTAAAAATGATTTCACCATGCATCCCTGGCTTCTAAAGCACCACGCATCATCCATCATCAGCATCGTGTTCAATTTAATGTACTCACACGGTGACATGGCTTCACCGGGCCGGCGCCGGCTGCGCCCAGCTACCTCACTGCTCCGGCTGCTGCTAAGTCGCCGTGAAGGCTCACTTGCGGCCGACGGAGCCTCCCGCGGCTCAGCCCCGCTCACCGGACAGCTGGCCGTAATCGCCGCGGCTGTAATGCCGGCCGCGGTGCTGAGAACGCCCGTGCAGTTCCGGCGTGACCCAGGTGCGCCGCTGCAGGTGCCGCGCGGATCCAGCCGCCGCCCATCCCTCCGCGGCCATGCCCGCAGCTGGGGAGCCGCAGGCATGGTCTTGCCTCAGCAGGCATTCCAGGCCGCACGGTGCTTCATCGTGAAAACTTGGGCACTGGACAACGCTTAGGCAATAGGCATGTGGCATGTCGAGTTTTGACATCCACATCATCTGTTACGAGTCCGGGGCAGACGGACCTCTCGGCTTATAACTCTGTCCACCAGACTCCGTCAGTGGACTACACAAAGGACTGAATCTGGCCGCCCCATCAGATCCTTGGCTGACGGAGAACGCAGCGTCCAGGCACGCTGGAGGCGCGCGCTCTGCGCTGAATCCGCTCTCGGTGGCGCCACAGTGGCGCCCGCGCCACATTCTGCCCCATGTCGGCGGGAGGGGCCGCCACGCGCCCACGCGCCCCTCTCCCCCCCCCCCCCCCCCCCTGCCCTGTGGTGGAGCGGCCAACACCAGGGCGCCACCTGGCGGCGACGGCGCCGCGCCGTGCGGTCGGCCCACGCCAATTACGAGTAATTTCGCCATGGTTTACCTAATTCCTCGGGCGGCTCCCTCAATTGTCTTCATTGGGAGGCATGATGTGCAGCAGCGCGCATGTTTTACGTGACGGCGGTGGCGCAACGGAAGGGCGCAGGAACCTGTGCCCGTCCGTCCTAGGCACAGGATACGAGAAACCCGACCGAAGGATCGGTGAGCGAATGAGACGGGTCAGAGACAGAAGCGTGTGGAGCGAACGAATCGGCCTGGACGCCATCCAGAATGAGTTCTGTCTCGGGTACAAAAATGGAGGAACACGGAATCTTCTGGGTGGTTTTCCTACAGCGTCTCACACGTAATATGAAATAAAAAGGGTGGAGGGAAAGCGTGCAATCCATCGCCCGCGGATAGCATCCATGGTTCCCGGCTATCTCCACGCTTTCGTCGTGCGCGTAAATGGGGTGTGTTTGCTTCAGTTTGAGCAGCATGACGGTGACTCAGGTGTGCCACCGCAGGTGCCGCTCTGATCCAGCCACAACCCTGGCTTTACCTAACCTAGCCACCTAATACAACTAAGGACTCGCACTCTGCAGGGGTGGTCATGTTTCGTTTGAGCCTCGTGCGTATGCAACTACCCTCAAGATATAAGTAAAAGCAGGGTTTTCCGACTTTGACCCACTTTTTCTCTAAAGTGGGGGGGGGGGGAGGCTAGACCCTTCCCCCAACTGGAACAATTTTATTGTTTAGCGTACACTCTGCCGTGTGTCAAGACTGCACCGATGGATCTGTGTCACGTGTCGTCATCCCAGCTGGTCACGTACGACCTTCACGAGGCCATTAATTACGTCAATACCTGATGCTGATTACGCATCCAAACCGAACATGGACGACGCATGGCTGTGACTTCGCAAATGATCCTGACCTCGCCGCTGACTCTGACCTCGCCGCTGACTCTGACCCCGCCTCTGTCTCTGACCCCGCCACTGACTCCGCCCACACTGCTGACCCTGACTCCGCCGCCGACCCTGACCCCACAGCTGACCCGACCCTATCGCCGGCCCTGGCCTCACCGCTGGCCCTGACCTCGCCGCCGACCGCTAATCCTAACCCCGCTGCTGACCCTGACCCCGCTGCTGACCCTGACCTCGCTCCTGACGCTGACCCCGCCGCTGACCCGCCGCCGTCCTGTTTCAGACGGCGCTGTCTCAGACACTGCAGTCACTCTCGGAACGGGCAAAGTCTGCCACCGAGGTCATCCACCGGCTGCGGCGGGCGCCCGAAACGGTCGGCGTGAGTGTCCCGAGGGGGCTTCGGCGGACTTCAGTGGGTTTCGGTGGACCTTGGTGGACCTTGGTGGGCTTTGGTTGGCCTCGGTGGGCCTCGGTGGGCATCGGTGGGCTTCGGTGGGCTTCGGCGGGCTTCGGTGGGCTTCGGTGAGCCGTCTCGGATGTAGGCAGGGGTCAGCACGCCGGTGACATTTCGGACTGACTGGCAGGCGCAGTCAGATGGTAACATCGCCACGTGCTGGCGGATCCAGGGGGTCATAAGTTTCGTCACAGGCTGGCCAAAAAGTTGATTTGCCAATGCATGGCGCGTCGTAGTCGGACGCCAACCAAATATATGTATCGATGTCATGTTTGGCAAACGGCCTGGTAAAATTCCTCCATTGTTCTTTCCCATTTTCCTAATTCCCATACAATTTCCCCATTGTGCATTGACACAAATGCAGGACTTAACGTCGACTCGCAGAGTGCTAATAGACGGTTTCAGTAGCAAAGCTACCCAAGCAAACACTTTTTTCAACTATTCCTGAGGTTCGTCTGATTGGGATTGTCAAGTTTGCCGGAGCTGCCGCCGGCGGCCGGCCAAGGCATCGAGCGCAGACGCACTTGTTCGTTCATCGAGCACAGACACACTTGTTCGTTCACTGAGCGCAGACACACTTGTTCGTTCATCGAGCCCAGACACACTGGTTCGTTCATCGAGCGCAGACACACTTGTTCGTTCATCGAGCGCAGACACACTTGTTCGCTCATCGAGCACAGACACATTTGTTTGTTCATCGAGCGCAGACACACTTGTTCGTTCATCGAGCGCAGACACACTTGTTCGCTCATCGAGCGCAGACACACTTGTTCGCTCATCGAGCACAGACACATTTGTTTGTTCATCGAGCGCAGACACACTTGTTCGTTCATCGAGCGCAGACACACTTGTTCGCTCATCGAGCGCAGACACACTTGTTCGCTCATCGAGCGCAGACACACTTGTTCGTTCATCGCACCCGGGAGCCGCGCCTGGTTTTCGCACGCCAGAAACAATCGTGTGAGTTTTTTGTGGGTGTGGGTGGGGCTATTAGTTACATTATTATGCAAATTACCCTCAAGAGGGCGTTTCCGAATATCATTAAGTGATGACAATGCGCTACGGCAGCGAGGAGCGCCGGTCGACGCAACAGATATTGAATCAAAGATCTCCATTTTGTGCGAACCGACGCTCAATAAAAAACAGCTTCGAGCAATATCAACAGGCACCCCCAGCACTTAAGCGATTGAATTAGACGGACGCTCACCCGAACCCTCTCCCACAGGAGCTGCATTGTCCTGGGGAGAAGCGATCCTCGTTCTAACCGTGAGCCCTCTCACACGGTAATTGTATCCTTCCGTGGGGAAGTGTGTCGCGTTCTAACCCTAAACCGGCCCTGCAGGAGTCGTGTTCGGCCCTGGAGCAGGCCATCACTGAGCAGTGCGACGCCCTGGTGGCGGCCGTCATGGCGCGGAAGCAGCGCCTGCTGGGCCACGTGCGCCAGGAGCGGCAGCGGAAGACGACGGCGGCGCGAGAGCAGGTCACCTCCTGGACAGGCCAGATTCATCGCACCACCGGCCTGCTGCGCTTCTGCATCGAGACGCTGAAGGAGCCCAACAGCGTGGCATTCCTGCAGGTGGGGTAACGCTGCGGCCACCGTCGGCTCCCGGTGTGCTGTTTTCCTAGGAGCCACTGAATGAGATGATTTATGTGGTTGCCGCATGTAGAATCTCGCCGTAAAGCACACCCCCGCCCGCGCTATCCGACTACGCCTGATGGCCTGTTACGGCGGACTGGCAAACACGCCGTCCGCCCAGCTGACTGGGGCCGGTTCGACGACCCGAGAGAATCGATATCTCTCGTGAAGCGGCGCGAGGTCATAATGCCATCGATACGGCAGCCAGTCCAACGACGAGCGGTAATGTCGTGATGTGGTTAGCAGCCGGCGGCCGCCCACGTCTCCACACTGACGGCGGCGTCCCGGGGGCTGACGGCCGGCCGCGGCATTATTTTAAGATATCGGTCAATGCTCGCGGGCTGCTGCCGACTTTCAAGGCAGCCATTTTCTTGAAACGATTTATCTCGATTCCCCGGAGGTCTTGTTTCCTTTCCTCTTTTCCGGCCGGAAGAAACTGGTCCTGGCGAAGATGCAGAAGCCTCCGCGACCCTGCACTTCTATGGGTTCTTTTATTCGTCCGCTCTAATTGTACGCAATGTTTTATGTTGATAACCTGGGCCGAGAGCTGCCTGTGAGTGGCCACTTTAAAGGAAAATTGACTGTTGTTGCGCTCAAATGCACCCTATTCCCCTCCTTTTCTTCCCCTGCCCGATTTCCGCCAGAAATTATTAGCAAACCGGGTTGCCCTTCGCTACCCAAGCCGGTGAGCGGACTCTTTCAGGCATGGTCTCTCCATTCCGCCGTGGTCGACCCTGGACAGAGAGGCACGTTGCCGTCTCTCCGACCCGCTGCAGCGCCCTCTGTCCCTCTGTCCCTCTGTCCTTGTAACCTTCTGTCGGGTAATAATTCAACTGGTACTCGACTGCTCAACACGCCGGCCAGTCTCCTCTTATAACCGACGTTATTTCTGCCGCTCCCAGCCGCAACAACTGGTGGTTTGACGTTGCCACTGGCAATGCCCCTCGCCATGTCTAGGCCGACACGCCAGCTGTAGTAAGGCCGCGGCCTGGCAATCGCGCCTGTTATGGCGTCGGGACTTATACGGAGGATGCTCACCTTGCTCCTGTCCCAGTCCCAGGTCAAGCCTCAGTTTTAGCCTTCACAGGCCCTCCCTCAGCTACAATAGCAGTAGTTACAGCTTTAGCCCCCAACTGTGCCTCAGAGTGCCAACTGTGTCAACTGTGCCCCGGCCGCGGCCCCGACCGCGACCGCGGCTGTGGCTCCAGCTCCAGCTCCAGCTCCCTCCCCCACCCCTACCCCCGCCCGCGCCCCCGTTCCAGCCCCAGACCTCCTCGGTATTGGTATTCGGTGCCGGCACCGCGTGATTATAAGGCCGCGCGGCGGATTCCAGCTCCCTTGAGCCGGCTAGCTCAGACGGTGCCCAGGTCAATAGCTGCGGCGACTGCGGAGGAGGGGGAGGGGGAGGGGTCCGCTCGCTGGGGACGCGGTCCGCCGTGGAGTTCGCGGAGGCGTGGGTGCAGGGCAAGCGGTGGGTGGAGCCATGTGCGGTGCGGAGTGTCGGCTCGGCTGCTCCACCACTCCTGGCCGGCTCGGGACGGGTGGACCGGCATTGAAGACCGACCGCTGGGTGTAATACTCTGCTCTTACCACCCGGGATCAACGCGCCACCCTGGATCACCACCCTGGATCAATGTGCCATCCTAGATCACCACCCTGGATCAACGCGCGCGGTGGTTTTGAAAGGAGGAAGGACGAAATCCACCAGCTGTATGCTTGAATATATGTCGTTTCGAGTTTCTGAGATATTCATTATTGGTCCCAGCGGACGCCCAAAGGCAGACGTGTGGGACGATTATACATCGCTAACATAATGTATACACGGCAATCAGTTGTGCTGCGTTGGCGTGCTGTAGGTGAAGCAGTATCATCTGATCGGCGCGAATACACGGTACAGCCGTCCAAAAGCGAATACGGCTCCGGACTGGATGCAACAGCATTAGCATATCCGAGACGATTGAGACGCGAATGTGTGTAACCTCGCAATGCGATGGCGCCGGTGTGTGCTGACTTAATATTCGAACGCTACATCACTTTCGAGGCGTAGCTTTTTTCTGGTACAGACCATTGGCAAGCGCCAATGAAGAAGTTAAATTTGAAGGATAAATGCTTGCAACAGATCAAGGCCGGTGCTGTTCGTTGCGTAGGCTCCAGACTTAATGTCAATGGGTATACAGTCGTCATACAGCTGTTAATCTCTCCAAGTGAACACCACACCCCTTGACAACGCTGAGTTGACGCATTTTTCCCCATATAATCCCCAGACTCTGCTGGCTTGTTTCTGTACTCTCAAACGTTCCCAGGCTAGTGTGATCCCCTCTTCGTGTTTCCTCGGATTTTTTTCGGGACTTTTCTGACCCGCTATCCCTGTATTCTCAAATGTTCCCCAGACTAGCGAAGCCTGCTGTAATTGTGCCGTCGCATGTTGCCAAACCAGTCTAATACCCTTCCCGTCTCTTTTCCGATGTTTCCCCGTCTAGTCTGCAGTGTGATGTGTCTGAACCTGGCACGCCTTAGTCAGTAGTCTGCTTTTCCCAGTCTGTCGCTGTCCTCGGGTGTTCCCCAGCCGGGTCTGACCCGCCGTCCGTGTGTGTCTCTGTCCTCGGGTGTTCCCCAGCCGGGTTTGACTCGCCGTCCGTTTGTTCTCAGATGGGTGCTACCCTTCAGGGCCGCGCAGACTCCGTGCTGCAGAGTCTGGACGAGGAACTGAAGGCGCTCTCCCAGTCGCAGTCGCAGTCGCAGTCGCAAGTGGAGCTGACACTGGACACGAGTGCTGTGGAGCAGGCCATCAAGCAGATGTCTTTTATGCAGATGAAACGTGAGACACGACACATCAGACTACTCACTAAGGCGTGCCTGGTTCTGGCACATCAGACTGCTAACTAAAGTGTGTCTGGTTCTATCAGATTGTTATCTAAAGCGTGCCTGGTTCTGACCACCGTGCTTGGTGTAGGCGGTCACCAAGCACAACAGAGCCACACAACTAGGAAAGGCACTCCTGCTTACCTTTTGAAGCAGCGATAATGAAGGGAAGCACGCGCTTGTTAGCGTGCTTCCCTTGGTGGCGCGGTTGTGGCCGTCCCCGAAAAAGCGCTGACAAACATGGCTGCCATGCGGTGAGATAATGCGCCACCGAGTGGCAGCTGTGCCGCGTGTAGTCGCATCAGCCGTGCGGTAGCCCACACAAAAACGCGCAGATGCGAGCCGGAGCCCCCCTTGTTATGTCTGAAGCGTACGTGAGCCACGAATTAACTTTCTAAGTAGGTGGTCACCGACTGAAGGCCGTCGAAACAAAAAGATGTCATCCCGAAGTCAAGCGAGGAGGGATCGGGAGAATGTTCATGCGTTCCATGCCTGTGCTTAAGGCGGTGATTACGGTTGCAATAGCGTTACCTTGACGCGTTTGGTTCTCGGTATGAGGCCGCATTACCGATTTGGTGTTCAGCGTTCACCGTGACCTGACCTGACCTGACCTGGCAGCACCCGGCGCGCCTGTGATCGTGCACGACGAGTGCTGCTCGGAGAACAACAGTGTGGTGCTGTCGTGGCGCGCCGACCCGGCCAGCTTCGTGGAGGGGCACCTGCTGGAACTGGACGACGGCAACGGAGGACCGTTCGCGGTGAGCGCGCGCATCCGATCGGAATCTGCCCTCCCCCGCCCCCGCCCCCCCCCCCCCCGGTCGGCCGTGACGGGGAAGAAGAGCGATTAGATAGGATTGGCAGAAAGTTTGCAGTTGGTTATGAGTTTTGGGAGGTGAGCCGTTGATTTGCCGTCGGCGAAATGAAGTGTGCTCGGTCGGCGGCTGGTCGAGCTGCATGTTTTGAGGATGCGTCAGCTGTTGAAGCATCGTCGAGGTTAAGAGATATCCGCGCGTCTAGCGCGTCGACAAACGAATCACTTGCAAGAGATCTTATAACAAGGCGTTAATGTGTCAGTACTGTATAAATCCACTTGAGGCCATCAAATATGGAGGGGTGCTCACACTATGTCTCGGAGTTGGGTATTGATACAGCACTTGATGGCTTGTTCAGATGAGGGGATCCACATACGATACCTAACTTGTTGCTTCGCAAGCATGATGAGAATATATTGGATAAATAATACGAACAATTATTGACCAGCTTGCTCTAAAATCACGGCGCGGGTTTGCCGAAAAGCAACAAAAGCCTAGTTTTCTACCACACGGTACGCGTCCCAGGATGGTCTTGCTTTACGTTACGACCCGAGCAATGTCTGCTAGGGCTGTATAACTACTAAGCGTCAAAGTGCGTGCGCACGCATTACAAATTTCTTGCGCCAAATTTTCTGTGCAAGCGTTTTTCCAGTGCTCAGTTTTCTCTGCTCAGTATCCTCAGAATCAGTATCTTCAGCGTAGTGACCACTCGTTTTGACTGCATACCTTGATGCTTGGTGGCGACCATGTCACTTACATAGCCCCAGACGATGACCTTCCAGGCATCCTTCTAACGAGGTCTCAAAGTATGACGATGGGTGCCATTATACTCTGGGCACAATAACTTTGGTGTCGAGCGCTGGACTCAACACTGCGTCGTCGCTGAACGGTCACGTGATAATGCATGTCGGCGGCGTGAGGGTTGTACCTGAATTACGCAGCGTTGATTGCGGCTGCTGAGATGTGCTTAGTGTCGTTACGATGAGTCAGCTTACCTCTAAACACATCCGAATTGTTTATGGAAGTTGGAGGGGCGAATAAATCGGCGTGTCGCACGCGGGAGGAGCCATGCTTCTAGGTATTTCCAGCTCCATATGCGGTAGTCTACTGGCGTGCTGGGCTTCCTCACGGCCACCTGGTCATCATCGTGACGTGAGAAGAACCGGTTACTTTGCGAAATGCCTGATGTAGGCATCAATATAGCACGGACCTCGGTAAACTGATGGTCTCAGCTCAGCTTTGCCGGCTCCCCAGACATTCTTGCATGCAGGGATCGTTTGGTTTCAGGCATGTGGAAGAGTCGAAACGTGTATTCCTCGGGCCACGCCAAAGGCGGATCGGGCGATAAATCCTGGGGGGCCGTGCTCCAAATGTGGCGAGACTTCTCCGAAAACAGCGCAGCAAGAGGGGAATTTTTATTTTCCATCGTCATCTTCCTTTGAACGCGCCAGTAGGTGACTCGACATGCCTTCACAGCTAAGCCTAAAGGGCAAAGAAAGGGACGGGCCCAGGGACAAAGGGACGGGCCCAAGGAAAAAGGGACACATCGCGCCCAGCATGCGCGATATGGTCATATTTGGGCTGAGAGATATCTCGGCCGCTCGTCAGCTCTCGGTGTTGCTCTCACAGACCTGTAGGACAGTCGTCATGGCTGAAGGACGGTCATGGCTCAAAAGGGGCCCACCCAAAGCATCTGCCGCTCGAGGTCATCACTCCAAGCGCTGGCCGTTTTTCTTAAATGTTTGTTTCCTGCTGTTTGGGTCGTGTTAATCGTTTTTTCAGGCATCTGCAGTTTTTCAACCAATATGAGCACAATGCGATTGCCGACACTTGCATGTGTGTAAGCCTATAGATATAGTGTCCACATTGATAAATCAACTGCTCAGGAACGACCCAACAAGAAGTGATCTGCCTATAGCACGACACGAAAAGTAGCTGATAACGACTCGATTAGCAAAAGGGCACCTGAGGTAAACCCTGGAGGATAAACTGCAACATGAGCCCATGTTTGGAAATTTGGTCATCTTCGCGGTTAATGAACAGAAAATCAACAATTGACTAAAAGGGCGCAAAAATGTTGATAAATTGCGCTTTTGTAGAACTTGCTGACCCTTTCGATGCCATTCGTCATGTACAAGAGTGAAATGTGTTGTGTCATGTCCAAGTAGGATAGAGCGAGTTATTTAAATGCAATGCGACGTACGGCAATCTTGAGGCACTCAGTTGGTGCGCAGCAGCGCCCTCTACGTTTCAGCATGCTTCCAGCTCCGTACGCGCGCGCGTCCTACTATGGGAGCGACAAATACGCGTTAAACATATCGTTTCGAACTTTTACAGTAAGTGAAAGTGTGTGTTTAAGGTCGCGCAGTGTAAACACACTAATCTGAAGGCTATACTGGGCGTTAGGGAACTGGAAATGTGTCCCGCACATGCCATACCGCGATCCGAATCTGCCAGCCGAGCATTTTGGAGTGACGTGAACTTTCTTCCAAGATGTCTTCCCAGAGCTTTTTCCAAAGGCGGTACATGTTGTATCAGCTATGCATGGGACATGCTTTATGCTTGATGTAGCGTTCCGCTAGTGATGTCATGGACTATCATCGTCAATGATTGGCAATTACCGTGGTGTACTGTCATCCAAACAATTAGTCAACATTTACAATACCGATGAACCCTTAAGTTCCGCCTGAACACCAGAGACCGAGGTTGGCAAAAACTGGTTAAAACACACCATTTAATGAAAAGGGCAGGAAGTTGCTAGGTAATAATGGCGACGAATTACAAACAACGTGGAGGTGAACGTTTTTTTGTGTTGTAAATAATGCAGTCTGCTCAATGCAAAACAAAAACGGCGGTATAAATAACCTCACTTTGTGATATTTTACCTAGGGATAGATAAATCATTTGAAAGGGATTAATTGAAAAGCAATTTACAACAAAAAAGCCGAACGCGAAGATACGATAGAAGCCTTCTTCCTGGGAGAAAAAGCCGGGAGAGTGGGGCTATAGATTCGTTTGGTTTTTAACTCCCGATTTTTCCGAGGAAAAATGCTATTACTACTATTTTATCTATGTAAATAATACTTCTCGTAAATACACTTAACAAAAACGAATGCACGCTCTCCACTTCTTTACCGCTAGGGATTTAGACGGAGGTTATGTAGCTGGCTTCATATATAAAAATATCAGGGAGAGAGTTGAGGGTAAAATCTGACCGAGCTCCTTACTATCTCTTACGTGAAGTACAAGTCAATATCTTACGTATAAACAGTTATAACGCAAAGTCATAAATGATAAATGATAAAGCAAAACCGCCCCCGTTGTGCATCACTTAACGTTTTGAAACTTGTTTATTCATAAAATCATCAGTGGGAAGCAGAAGGAGCGCTGCATGACTTTGCGCAATTTTTCCAACCAAAATAAGTCGACGACCTTGTAGTTTTTTGTATGTGTCAGCCAGTAATCGTCAGATATGCGACTACAAGTCCGAGCACACAATACCTGTTGATGTTTTGACGACGCTCGACAGGCGATCAATTCGTCTCTCCGTTAGCCCTCTCCAAAATGGCGGCCGTCAGCGGGTGCTGTGAGTAAGGCCAGCTTTATCCGCCCTCGGGGACCCCGGCCGACGTAATGACCGATGACGGCGGCGGCGCCCCTGTCTGGCCGTCGTCTCCCCTCTCCCCGGGGCCCGTTCCTGCCGTGTTTGCTCGCCGTTCAATAAGCCCGGTTGGCTGCTCCGCTCGGGGCCGGGGCGCCCGCCGTGGGCCGCGTGTTGCGCGCGGCGGACTACGCCGTTCAACGACGGTGGCCCCGGGCCGCCGCCGCCTCAGGCTGGCGGAGACGCCGCCGTCGGAGGCCGCACAAGTGCATGGCAGGGACACCGGCGATTGGGAAACTGCTGGAATATTTATTACCGTATGCGAGCAGCATTTTTACGTTGTTAACAGCAGTTAAGCTACATGAATTGCTTGCTCGACGGACGCTTGGATCAAAATACTCGGCTAGCGTAGCTTGCTGACTCAGCGTCCAAGTGGTCCTTATCATGAAATTACGTTCTGTAACCTGACGGCTAAATGATAGTGGAAACTCAAGCGTCACATGCAACGTAATGACGCACCCGAAGGGGTATCGTCTCGTTGTCGGGAAAATACAGCGCCTCAAGCGGGGTCTGGACCTGTGCGGTCGTTGTCCGGAACTCTGCGTTTGCCACTCGTGGCGAGCGGCGACCGACCCTCTTACTCCTGTCGCGGAGAGAACCGATGTGGGAGAGACATGGCATGAGCATAACATTCCTCATGGCGGATCTAGCAGAGGAGTCAGAAGCGTAACTGGGCGAACGTATCGAACCCATAACGTCTCGGAACCCCTTACAGCTCGGAGCGCCCATTGTAACCACCAAGTAGTTGCGCTGCGTCCGTGGTACTTGTCAAGGCTCTTGGCAAGCTCCCATGTTGAGTTGCACTTTCCGTCCCCGGCCTCACTCTTCATCCAGTGGCACGTTTTTAGCTCTATTGTCTGGACATACTGCCTCGTCACGCAGTCCGTCTGTGGCGGAGAGGAGCCAGTCACGCCACCTTGACCATGGCGTGAGCACGAACCGTCATCCGCCGACAGGACCGGAAATGAGAGACGCTGTCCGTGGCAAGGGAGAGGGAGGTGGAGAGGGGACAGGGACAGGGACAGGGACAGGGACAGGGACAGGGACAGGGCAGGGCAGGGGCAGGGGCAGGGGCAGGAACAGGGACAAGAAGAGGGAGAAGAAGAGGAAGTGGAAGAGGAAGAGGGAGAGGGAGAGGCAGAGGCAGAGGCAGAGGCAGAGGCAGAGGCAGAGGCAGAGGCAGAGGGAGAGGGAGGGAGAGGGAGAGGGAGAGGGAGAGGGAGAGGGAGAGGGAGAGGGAGAGGGAGAGGGAGAGGAGAGGGAGAGAGAGAGGAGAGTGAGGAGAGAGAGAGAGAGAGAGAGAGAGAGAGAGAGAGAGAGAGAGAGAGAGAGAGAGAGAGAGAGAGAGAGAGAGAGAGAGAGAGAGAGAGAGAGAGAGCGAGCTCTCACGAGAAGCTCCCTACAAGTACGGTGGTGTTGAGGTGTGGTTTTCTCTTGTCATGGGCTTTGCAATCGCACCTTCTTCAGCTGATGAGGCGTTTAACGTAACTCCGCACCTATCAACCGGGGTTCGTCTGTCAGCCGAGGGTAAACACACATCTCCGACGGCCGGATGTTACTGAAGCGTGATCGGTATCGTTCGTCATCTTGAAACGCCGCGGGTGGAGTCTTCTTTAGCCCTGTTTTGCTCCAGCCGACCCACATTGGGCGTGCTTTGTTCATCTCGCGTGCACCACCTCTGCGTGCGTGGGTCGGCGCTGGGTTGCTCGGACGACGCGGTCGTGGGTCCCAGGAGGTGGGGCTTCCAGACGGGAAGGGCCCGATGAAATGTGTTACCCTGAACAAAGCGCAGAGGTCGTAATGGTCAACAGATACTGTCTCTTAGGAGGCATTAGCTGGCATCCAACCTCCCTATAAATCACACGCTGCGCGCTAGTTCTTAGATTAAGGGTGCGATTCAGGCCGCATTCCTTGTGTGTCTGTTAATGGATGTGATGTTGTGGTGTGTCTGTTAATGGATGTGATGTTGCAACTTGCAAACGTCTCCGTGCCAAATCCGGTTTAAAGTATCAGTAGATGTGCTGAAAGGAAGTTAATCTTTATCTGAGCAGCAAATGGTCCAGCAACAAACAAGAGTGGTAAAAGCAGTTAGCATCGACAACGTACCAATTGTTGATTTGAGGTTAAAGTGTTAAGTACGTCCTTTGGTAGTGATGCCGGACAACTACGCTGTAAGAATGCTGCATATGATGGGGAAAAAGAGGGAGCACTTTTGTGCGAGCTGGCTGGCAGCGGACAGCAGCTGGCAGCTGGCAGCTGGCAGCTGGCTTATAACGAGGAGTGCAATCCCTCAGCAGAACGAGCGGTGCACCTCGCTTGATTTATAGCTCCAGGAGATGCTGCGCGACCAGCAGACGCTCCTGGTATGACCTGACCCTGCTCCCGTTGCAGGAGGAGCACTGTGGCCAGCAGACTGCGTTCCTGGTTTGACCTGTCCCATAGTACGCTTCCTTTTAGGATGCGTCCTGTGGCTAGCAGACGTCCTTGACATGACAAGACTCTGTTCCCTTCCAGGAGGTGTACTGTGGCCAGCAGACGGTGTGCACGATAGACGGGCTCCACTTCAACTCGGTGTACAAGGCGCGTGTGCGGTCCTACAACGCTACTGGCACGGGGCCACACAGCCCGCCGGTCTGCCTGCAGACGGCAGAAGGTGAGCTCACTGCGCGGTCCCCCCACTGTTGGATCCTGGCAAGGCGCGTGAGCCCTCCTACAACGTTACCGGCACGGGGCCCCACAGCCCGCCGGTCTGCCTGCAGACGGCAGAAGGTGAGCTCGCTGCACGGTCCCCCCAGTGTTGGATCCTGGCAAGGCGCGTGTACGGTCCTACAACGTTACCGGCACGGGGCCACACAGGTCCTTTCAGACACGACCCTCACCATCGAAGACATATGCGTTTGCTTTTATGCATCTAGAAAATCGAAGACATCTGGGGAGGTGGCTAAATGTTCGCAGGGATTATATGTCTCACGAACGTCGTCATGTGTGCTGCTGTTCCAAACGTCCACAAAGCCATGTATTCACTCGTCTGTGTCGCAATACGAAGTCCTCAGCCAAGCCCTCCATGGAAACAACACCGTGCCATGCGACACGGCGATGCTGCAGCTCTAGCTGGATTCGATGTGGCCGGCCGCCGCATTTCCCACATGGCACGTGTGGCACGTGAACGCGTGCCGTGCCAGATTCCGTCTCCGCCTAGCCGTGCGGCGCGCGTGATTCGATTGGGGCCGGCGCGCAGGCACAATGGGGCTCTCATGTGGCGTCGGACAGACGTCAGCGGTCGGGGCTCCACAGCCGATGCCGCCGACCGCCGGCTCTGAGGTCGCGGTGCGCCGGAAGCCGCCGCCGGATGTTTGGCACCGGCGCGTCGTTACAGGGCCGCTCTCCGATCCCGGCGGCGATTATCGCTGCCGCCGCCTCCACGCTGCAAACGCGGTCAGGTCAGATTGATTGCACAAACGTGCCTGCTGAACTGGGTCAGCCGCGGGGCTGATCGCCCGCGGCGGGCGCCTGCCAAGCGGCGTTGGGCGCCGGCGCAGCGGGACTCAGGTCCGGTCAGGTCACGGATTGAGACGTCACGTCACGCCAGCGCGGCTACAAAGCGTCACGTCACGGCGCGGCTTTGAAGCGCCACTCTCGGGTGTGGAGGGTCACGTCGCAGGCCGGGAGCGGTGCGTCACGAACCGATTTACAATGTGTCACGGGCTGATTCGGAGTACACCTGGTGCCCATGCTCAGCCTCGAAGCATGCCAATTGCTCGGACGAATCTGTGAGAGCAATTACTGATTCCGCGGAGGGCTCGTTTCGCCCACGGGCCCAGGTTTTCGATTGGTCCATTCGAGGCGCGTTCGTCTGTCCCTGAGGCGCGTTCGCCGCGGGTTAGCGTCCGCAGGGACCTGCGGTCCGAGTCTCCAGCTGGAGCTGCGGCGGCAGCGACCCGGCATGGCTGAGGCCCCGGGTGGTGCCCAGGTCCTGACGGTTCCCGAGGGCCCGCGCCGGCCAACGGGCCACTGCGCGACACGGGACCCATTCTACGTACACATCTGCGTTGGCGGTGGTGGGGGGTGCGGCCCAGACATGCATAAGGCACTGTGGTTGATCGGGAGTGTTTGTTTCGATAGGTGACACAGGAACGGAACAGGAGGGGGCAAGATATATCGCACGTATTCGGTTATGGGAAACAGCCAAGTGTAAATGACTCAAGCTGTGTTCTCCTTGGTGAATATTATGGGGGAGTTACTGATAGGCGTGGTCGCGATGCATGATGGCATGAACAGGATATCGATATTGTAGTGGTTAGGCCGCAAGTCTGGGAAACCATAGATACGGGATTTGATCTGACGCGGTGTTCGCACCTCCTACCAGGGTGAGGGGCAGGCGACGCTATACAGCCTCAGGATATGGGTGAGTCGCAAAGCTCCAACGACTGGCGATGGGATTTTAAGCCAATGGAGCATGATCTGTCACCACATAGCCTCGCGTTTGTGATCGCGCATTGTTGTCAACTGCATGTGATTTGGGCATGCCAGTCGGGATTGACATAACTTTAAAATATCTGCTATGTCCAGCTTTACGGCTTCATTAGACTAATGATTCTGCCAGGCAGCTCGCCGCGATGCGGCTAATCTCGGAATGGGCTCGTTTCAAGTAATCCAACGGTACGACGCCACCGCGCTCTGGTCCGGATAGTTGACTGTGACCGGGTCCAGCGACAGGCTGCAGGGAGTGCCAGGACTGATAACTGGCTATGACCGGGTCCAGAGACGGGCTTCAGGGGGTGCCCGAGCCGATAATTGACTGTGACGGGTCCAGGGATGGGCTGCAGGGAGTGCCCAGGTGATAACTGGCTATGACCGGGTCCAGGGATGGCTGCAGGGAGTGCCAGGACTGATAACTGGCTATGACCGGGTCCAGAGACGGGCTTCAGGGGGTGCCCGGCCGATAACTGCTGTGACCGGGTCCAGGGATGGGCTGCAGGGAGTGCCCAGGCGATAACTGGCTGATCGGGTCCAGTGACGGGGCTGCACGGAGTGCCCGGGCCGACAACTGGCTATGACCGGGTCAGTGGGGCTGTAGGGAGTGCCCGGGCCGTAATTGACTGTGACCGTGTCCAGGACGGGCTGCAGGGGGTGCCCGGGCTGATAACTGGCTAGAACCGGGTCTAGTGGGCTGCAGGGAGTGCCCGGGCCGATAACTGACTATAACCGGGTCTAGTGACGGGCTGCAGGGAGTGCCAGGGCCGGGCTTCTGCCATGCGAACTGAGTTATCGACTGCAGCATATGTAACGTAACACTGAAAGGCCAAGCTTGTCAAAAAGTTTGCCTAAGATGGCTGCACATGCTCACAGTCATGCGCCAGGGTTGGAACGGATGGCAACAAATTGAGGCACTTGGATGAGTTAGTCTACATCCGCTACATGGGTTTTGTACGCGAGAAGGGCTTGACATGAAACGACGTGAAGTCAACATAAAACGAGCTTACATCACTTCAGATGAAAAGCTTGTTTTCTCTAGTGCCGCTGAAAAACGACGGCGTGCTTTGCTGATATTTCAAAAAGTTGTATTCACTGGACCGCTGATATTTCAAAGAGTTGTACTCATTGGACATTGGGGTAGTCACAGTACCGATGTAAACTGCTGCAGTCCCACAATTCCTGCATCCAATAACTTGTCGGCAGCCCGTGCGCTCCTCTTGAAACACAGTGGCGTAGTTTGTGTTATAACTCCGATATGTGACCATGCGTCCCAGCAAAATACTTTGTTGCAATTTTATTGGATTCACTGTGTTTTACACCTGAGCCAAGACTGTCTGTGCCTATGTTCACAGGTGAGTATATATGTGATCTAGACACGAGGCACGAGGATCTAGACACGAGGCTGCATCTCTGTGTTGTGTTCTGGCTGATTTCAGCCCCGCCCCTCAGCACCCCCGTTTCTGTCGTTGCAGTGGCCTGATTTGTGCTGGACCCGGCAGCCTCGCACCCTAGCTCCGCCCCTCAGCACCCCCTTTTCTGTCGTTGCAGTGGCCTGGTTCGTGCTGGACCCGGCAGTGTCGCACCCCCAGCTCCGCTTCTCGGACAGCAACGGTGCCGTCAGCTGCGACAGCTTCGAGCCCTGCGTCGCCTTGGCAACGACCGGCTTCTCGCGTGGCGTCCACTACTGGGAGTTCACGCTGGAACGTTACGATGGCAACGCCGACCCGGCGTTCGGCGTCGCTCGCCTTGACGTCACCAAGTCGCAGATGCTGGGTGAGAGACGAGACACGCCACGCAGGGGTGCCGGTAGTGTAGTGGTTAGCGCGTCTGCGTTAACCACTGCGCGTCTGGGAAACCAGAGGTACGGGGTTCGATTCCCCGCGGTGCCCGCCCTTCCTGCCAGGGTGAGAGGCAGGCGACAACATATAGCCTCAGCAGCTGAGTGCGCCGTAAAGCCCCAATGACACACACAGACACGCCACCTGCCCTCCTCCCAGCTCGGGGTGCGCTGGACGTGACCGTAGATGGCTGAAGCCTAGTGCGCCATCTGGCACAACCCGTGACGCGCTGGACTTCACCGACAGCCGAGCTGAATAGGTTTTCATCGTACCGATCCCACCCCGCGGTCCACTGAACGTGACGAGGACGCCTTACGGAAAGGCCAGCCTCCTTCACCCCCGTCCCATGGTTCCGGTACCAGACCAGTATCGCCGGGTGACCCTTCGGCGGAGAGGCCGACCTACGTGACGTCCTCCGTCGCCTGCGGCGTCCGTTTCTGGGTCACGGCGGCACCCCGGCGGGAGGCGTGTCTGGCTGAGGTGCGGCAGGATCCGGCTGCCGGCACGTCCGCCTGCGCACCCGCGATCCTGGCCACAGTTCGGGAATGCGATTAGTGTTTGGTAGGATTTGGGATTTGGTAGGAGCAGCCTAGGTCTTATGCTCTCGGCTCTTGGCACCCCGGGTTTTCATGCTTAAAATGAAAGAGTGAGGGTGCTGCTTAAGCGAGCATATTAGGCAATCAGCGTCATGAACAGTCTAAAATAGTCGACGTTTCTAGCGCTGTTCGTGGTCGCCCGTGACCTTAAACACTGCTGTGACTTGCCAGACATTAAACATAGCTTTGCCCCATCTTAGGTGTCCGCCGCCCGGGATGGTTATTTCGATATGACACTAATTGTAGCTCAGAAAAACCAACCTTGATGGATTGGCTAGCCGACTTAAGCTGCATCACGACCCCGCCTGTCCGGCTGAAATATATCAGTCCTCGTCTCGGCGTGGATATTGGATTGCATGCTATGATTGATTGGATCCCCACTCTGTTGCCTTGGTTTGCTTTGATTGATTGCTGTTCTGAGAGCGGTGTCAGTATACAGCGCGGCTGATTTGACACATAAGCCAAGCTAAAAACACGACTCGTCTGCTCTGGAGTCGCCATACCACTCACGGCTGGATCGATGCAGTTTGCCATCACGTGGCTAAATGCCTAGCTTGGGAACCAAGCCACGCCCAAGTTTTCAACGATTAGAGACTGCCAACTTGAGCTACCACCAAATTAAACCTCCAAAGTCTAATTTTTCTCATCGCGCATTTCCGCTTGCCACCCATCTCATGGTGACGTCATGGAGTCCGGCAAAGCACCGAAGATCGTGACCTTCCTGGTCGTTGAATCATGTCCCCGTGAGCTTCTCTTGCTAAATGTCAGGCTGCACAGAGCTGTTGTGTCATATTTAATGCATAAAAATCGCACGCCAGGTGTATGTACCTTCACCATGTCTCAAGTCACTCTACGTTGACCCACGAATGTGACTCCAGCTTACGAATTTGTAGGTCTTGCGCCGAATCCCACAGGTGCACAGTACGCCCGACAGCCTAACTCCCCCGTTGTTTAGCACGCCTCCACGAACACGTGACCCCGTTGACGCCGTGACGCCGCCCTCACGCGCCGCGCCGCTTCCCCAGGCGCCGACTCGCTGGGCTGGAGCATGTACATCGACGCGCAGCGTTCGTGGTTCATGCACGCCGGCCGGCACGAGGGCCGCCAGGAGGGTGGCGTGCGCACGGCGGCCGTGGTGGGCGTGCTGCTAGACCTCGGTCAGGGCCAGCTCAGCTTCTTCGTGGACGGACGGCCGCAGGTGCGCGACGGCCGCTGGCGTGGTGAAGCGGAGGCGGGCGGAGGGTGGGGAGACGGGCAGAGGGTGGGGAGGCGGACAGGGGTGGGGAGACGGGCAGGGGATGGAGAGACGAACAGGGGGTGTTAAGACGGGCAGGGGTGTGGGGAAGGGCAGACCATGTGGAGACGGGCAGGTATGGCGAGACGCGTTGAGGGTGGGGTGACAGTTAGGGGTGTGAAGGTGGACAAAGGACGTGGAGACGGGCGGGGATTTGGAGACGGACATGGGATTTGCTATCGGTTGCTGCTGCAATCGGTTGCAACTTGCCGAATATGCTGCATCTGCGGGCGATGGCGTCCTTTGTCCACCGGGACTGGTGTCCATGTTTCCTAAAGTAAGAGTTTCGTACAAACCGAAGGCAGTTGGGTTCGTGCGGAAATTCACCGCTTGAAGTTACGTTAAGAGGCGGTTATCTCGTCCTGCAGGGTCCACCAGCCTTCACAGACCTGGCGGGAACGCTCTACCCCGCCGTGAGCATCAACCGCAACTGCAAGGTGCGTCTGCGCACGGCGCTCGAGCCGCCGAGCGACCAATCAGGCACGGACAGCGACGGCTGCTAGCCAATGGCGCGGCGCGACGTCGGCCGACGGCGCGGACACGAACAGAGCTGCGGGCGACTGAGGTCCGCGGCTGGAGGCAGGCGACCGGACGAGGAGTGTCGTGGATGGGCTGACCTCGGCCAGACCCGACCCCGTGGACCAGCGACGGACGTGGAGCCGGTCAGCTGGGGAGCTGGTGGACGCGTGTACTGCCCTGCGCCACGCCACGTTCCAGCTCCCCAGTCCCAGAGATGAGCAGCGCGTGGGCTGCCGGCCGCATGTGCCTTCCCTGCCCACTCACTCCAACGGCAAGTGCCGAGAATGTAATGAGTTCGCGCTCGATTCCGTTCGCAAAGCAAGGGCAACTGGGCAGGTGTAACGGGGTCAGAGCCCGACTTCCGGCCCCCATCTGAGCTTGGCTGTCTGCGCGTGGGACACCGCTGGCGCGTTCCAACTGGCCCCGATTGGATCAGATCTGGCAGCGGCGCTGGCGGCCGGCCGGACGGGCCGAGTTGGAGCAGCCTCTCCCTGAAGAGCAGGGCGCCCTTGCCTTGTACTGGCGAAGCTGCGCGAACGGTTCTCTGTACTTGTTGATAGTTATGTGATCATGTCGTTGATCATTCTGATCGTTTTATGCACGTTTGCATTATGCACGTTGTGCATCTTTTTGAGAGCACGCGCACTGCAGACCTTGTTATTTGTTGAAGTTCAGCATCATCGTGGTGGTCGGCATTGTGTCAGGATCTCCTCGCTCACACTAGAATAATTGTGAGCACTTCATACACCATCATAGCTCTTACCACTGCTTACCGCTCGCGCATGAGAGCGGTTTCCTACACGAACAAAGCCGAGCCGGGCGACGGCGATCTTGCCGAGCAGGTAGGTCATTGACCCGGCGAGTTTGTGTTCATTGTCTACCGCTGTCCTGAGCCAGGGCTTCACGAGTGACATCTGTTGATGCCGTGTGTGTATTTTTTCATGTTGTACTATCGCCTGTGCCCCCTCCCCCGTCCGTCCAGGCAAGGCGTCTGTGAAGCTATAATTAAGGCTGGCTCGGTGCGCCGCCGGTCACTAGTACGGTGTGACTCGCTCGGCGGCAGGGTGTGCCGACAGGCGGCGAAAGTTGCGGTGGACGCCTCCCACGGCTGTCAAATTCAATTGGGGCTCTTGCGGCCTGGTTACACATTGTGCGGTGGGAGGTGCAGCACACACGTGATACGCGAGCGAGCCTTACAGCCGCCGCTGGGCGCACTATTTCACTGCCAGGCACTTTTGTACGTTTGCGATGAGCGCGTCGATAATAAATGCGCATTTTCTGCGGAACTGACACCACTTTTGTTATCGGACTGAGGACTTGTGGGCGCGCACAACATCAGTGGCCCTCGGACAGATCGGTCAGCCTTGTCCGAGAGTGAATGATAACGTTAGTGTTTGCTCGATGTTGTTTACTTTGGCACCCAGCCCTTGTTAGGCGGTACGATACAACGGAACCCCGCTGATGTGTGAGCGGCTACGGAGAGTTCGGTTTCGATCGGCCCCTAACATTGATTGTGTGGATACATATGAAAGGCCGCACGCATTTTGGTTTGGGGGACGGGGACGGGGTTAACCATGAAGGACTTAGGTCATCCCCATATTCCAGAACTTTTCACTTTAACCTCACAAACCATTGCGTGTCTTATGGCGCTAGGTATATGAAGTTTATTGCATCATTTATCCGCTCAGCTGTTACAATTTGTAACTTGTGGTGAGAGCAACCACCCCTTTTTGTTATGAGAGCGGTGCGAGGCGCCATTACGCAGAAAGGTCAAAGAAGACAGTCTTTGTGTTATGATCATCATTTACCCACGCTTTTTGAAATATTCCAGCCAGAAACATTTTGGGGCCAACCCAAAATTGGGGTGCCCAACTCACCATTGGGGGGCCAGGGCCCTCACAAAGGGATACAAATCGACACCCGTACTCTTGGAAATTCACTGGGTGGTCCACCACGCGCGGTCATTCCACATACGCCGCAGCAATAACCCCAGGGGCGGCAGGTGGGGCGAGGGAGGAGTCCACAGCACACGCCGTCGTCAGGCTGATGAGCCTTTTAGAGAAATGCTCGTCCAGTCAGCCCAGTGCTCCTCCAGTCGGCCCAGAGCTCCTCCAGCCAGACAAATCGAGACGAGCAGTGGCGGTGGCAGTGGCAGGAGCAGTGACGAGCTTCATGCTGTGGGGTCACGACAAGGTCTGCGTCGATGTGGACAACCCAGCGAACCTAAGGCGGTCAAGGCCGCCTCAGACTCGAGATGGGACGCATCATCGTCGACAAGATCGACCACATGTTCGGCCACGGCGGCGGAGTATTCTTTGCCGCCAGGTGTTCTTCTGGAGCATCTTTGTGGGGTCACCATTTAACGGGTGTGGGATTATTAGTGACTATCATGGTTGGTGATTATGCTTTGCCATGGGACTGGCATTCGAATGTCATCACAGTCTTGACTGCTATAAACAAACTTGTCGCTGTTGAGCGAAACTCGCTTCGCCGTGTATGTGGGCCTTTCTGCACAACAGGACGCAACAAGGTATCGGGCTGCCGGAGTATCTAGGTTGACAAAGACCTTAAATCCGTCTTGGTTGGCGCGCGAGTCTGTGAAAGGTTTTCCGTATGTCAGCGTTATGAAATAGAGTCTGACACAAAATGAACGCACGCAGACGTAGCCTTACCACTACTGCTACACCACAACACGTGGAAATGCGTTTGAAATGGTGTTTTGGTAACTGAAATGCCTATTGTCTCAAACTGAAAGGTTCGTTTACGTAACTGCGACGGTAGGGTCTGGCTGGAGATGCGCAGCTTGACTTAGCCGTTCGAAGCAAGGCGTATCAGTTTTCACCCAGTAGGTGTTCAACTAAGTTAAGACCACCAGCCAGTTTCCAAACGCTCAGTATTGTTCAAATGTTAACCGGATACACCGTGTGATATAGCCTATGGTGCGCGAGTTTTCATTTCTTAGCTATCACATATTGTTGTCATTGAGGAAATATCAGAGAAGTCGCTGTTTAAGTTGACATAGACGACCCTGAAAATCAAATACCTTCCTTTTGGGCCAGCTAGCAGTTTGCGACCACGGTCTGCCTGTCCTCTATCTCCATAGTTCTCTCTGTCATTCCTCCCACTGCGCCCTTGTGTCTGCATGCATCCAATCGTGAAATAAAGGACGGGTTTAGTTCTTTATCTCCCGAGTAATTTCGCTACACTTCCAAACGATGCCGCCGAGGCGAGACACAGAGGACAGCAAAGGCTCGTTCCCAGCTACTCAGCTCTGAATTATGACTGGATCCTTGCCCGTGGCCCCCGAATGCGGGGGGGGGGAGTCAGGACCGGACCCCAGCGGCGGCGGCGGCCGATCACCGGAGGTCGAACCCGCTGAGGCCACCTCCGGGGAGGGGCAGTTCCCCGAGCACGGGGGCGCCGCCGGCCGGACAGCGCTTGCTCGGCCGTATTCCCGGAGGAGCGGTATGCGACGGCAATCCCATTGATCCGGAACTCTGCGATGCGGCGCAGAACAGCGTTAGCATTGTATTACGGACGCTCTGACTATTCAGAAGCGCATGGCACGAGACTAGGACACCACTACAAGGATGTGGTGTGGTGGAGCATCACCATTCCAGTGTGTGTGGGGGGGGGGGGGAGGAGGGGCGATGCGGTCCGACACACGGCTCCACCGCACGGGTGATGTGCGCTACAGCCTGTACCCGCTCCGGATCTGGGTGTGGTAAATTATCACTGCCCCTTGGCCGGGTTATTGGGACCGGACACAGTGTCACATCCCATGGATACTGTATGACCCGCGCTGGCCGCTCCAGGGGTGCGGGGTGGTCCAGTATCACCGCCGCCGGGATGCCATGCAGCACAGCATCGCTGCTGCAGGAATGCTGTGCTGTGCTGTCACCGTCCAGGGATGTCATGTGTTATAATGTTATCGCGCCCGGAATATCCCGCGTACATTGTCAGCACGCCAGGGATGTCGTATGGTGCATTGTTATCACTCAAGGAGGGCGGTATGTGGTCAGCCCTCCCCCCGGGGTGTCATGCGGTACAGTATCACAACTTCAGGGATGTCTTGCGGTACAGTATCACCACGCCAAGGATTTCACGCGGCACTGCGCCAACACCCCGTGGCTGCTGTACCATGCACCATCACTCCTCCAGGCGTATCGTGATATGTAGTAGTACCGTTCTAAGGTTGTCATCTGTTGTGTTATCACGACTTAGGAGTTGAAGTGCGGCACATCATTCCAGGGGTGAGGTACAGTGCATTAGTTAGGGGCGATGTGTGGTGCGGTACAGTATCACCACTTCTGGGCTGAAGACTACTGCGGGGCAGTATCAACAGCACGTGGTGTGTTACATCACTAATCAAGGATATTTGTTTCGCAAGTTAAAGTCTCCAAAACTTTTTACCTGGATGGATTTCCAGGCCTCAGGCCAGACACAAGCATTGCTTGTTCGGGTTCTGACCCCACCCCCGATCGTGAAACTCCAGGTCAACGGCAGCACTCCTGCCGAGAAAATTTGATGTGCCTTGATGCTCGGCCCGGTTCGTTCCGCCCTCTGATGTAACCTGACCTTTATTATGGCATAACTTGTCCTGAATTGTCGTGATGTCCTACCAACCCCGGCAAAATTAACAATGGACAGTTATTGTTACTCGGCGTAGACACTGTATTTTGGGCATGGGGGCTGATGAAACACCACTGATAAGTGGCATATGAATGGTATCGGGGTGAACATTTAAAACAATGTCGGCAAAGGTAGTCGTCATACCTTTCGGGAGCACGTGGAGCCATGGCACTAATGGGTGCGGCCTACCTCAGTGTACCTGCAGCCATCTTATGACGAGGTCACCTTGCCTCCCGAGCTGAACACAGCTTACACCGTTGGATACCTTTGAGAGCGGCAGTTACCGGCCGGTACAGCGCCGACGGCGCGCCACTTGACGTCATGAAACGACATGTCGTATTGGTGTGACAACCACGGAATTACGTCACGCGAGGTATTACGTCACGTGAGGTATTGTCCACGGCTCCCCGGAGAGCTTCAGAAACGCCCCCGAGGTCTCAACGTGTATCTCTCAGGTCAGAAAGGGCAATCAAATGAGTGGTCCGGTTATGTTTACAGGACCTAAAAGGGCGTCCCGAGAACAGAGGGGTGCCCCATTCTGTGTGCATGAAAGGGTATCCACACTCCCCCCTCCCCAGAAAACAAACGGCTACCACCAAACCCCGAAATTCTGGAAATGCACCCCGAAGGCTGCCAAGGAGTATTCCAGACTGCAAGTAATACCTCAGACCCGCAAATACAACCCCGAGGCCTAAAAGGGCACACCAGATCTAACTACACGTCTCCAAAGCCCAAAGTGACGAATCGTGCTCCAATCATGTCCAGTGCCAACGATTTGCAGTCGCCTAGCAATCATGAAAAGATGCCCTAAGGTCTGAATCAGCGCGTCGAGTCTTAAAACTCCGTCAATCAGGTCTGAAAGGGCGCCCTCAGATCTGTCAGTGTGCCCGCCTCAGCCCTGGAGGGATCTCCCGACTTTCTGTTCCCTCCACATGAATGCTGCAAACGCAGATTCATAAGAGTGCAGCCAGGTTACAATGTTCTATGAACTCGAAATGCATGGCGCTTAAGCCTCACCGACCTGGCACAGGCAGGGACCAGTCTCTCTCTCCTCCCCTCCCCCCCCCCCCCCTCCTGTCTCTCTCTCCCCGGGAATTAAAGCCCCGCTGTTGCTCCCGACACCATTACAGCCAGGTATCTCTGGCTGCTGTCTTTCATAGTAAGCGGATCTTTCTTGGGATGCGTGCCAGCCGCTAGATACAGCTGTAGGCAGTAGATATCCCGTCTTGAATGAAGAATATGGTGTAGGCTCTTCATCTGCCAATATAAACACCAACCCATCTTCTTAACTTTGATTTTCGCTGACGGACTGCTCCTCGTTACGTAAAAGGCTCACCGGCTCCAACGCTTAGGTAACAAATAGAACTCATGAGGACAAAATACAAAGAATACAAAAACAATAAGTTTGCAGCTTGTTTCACCCAAAAATTGTGCTGCGCGACTGGTTTCACTGCTGGCTTGGGATTTTGTCAAACTTGAAGCATTTTTGACTTATTCATCTATTATCCATCGTTTTTCGTAGCTCTTAAATTTGCTTTACTTTCTTGTTGCGTCCAAAATGGTGCCCCAACCCACTTACTAATTCAAGTGGGACAATTGATTGGTAGTTTTAAGCCTTTGACACTGGATGCAGCGATTTTTGCAGGGTTTGT